GGGGGGGGTCAGGGACCGGGGAGGGGGTCCTGACCCATGGCAGGGGGCCATGGCCCTGCTGACCCCACGGGAGCGGGTCCTGACCCGCGGGGAGGGGGTCATGACCCATGGGAGGGGGGTCCTGCTTGTCCGGGAGAGGGTCCCACCCCATGGGAGGGGGTCTTGACCCATGGGAGGGGGGTCCTGACCCATGGGAGGGGGGTCCTGTTGGTCTGGGAGAGGGTCTTGCCCCATGGGAGGGTGTCTTGACCCATCGGAGAGGGTCCTGCCCCATGGCAGGGGGTCTTAACCCGTGGGAGGGGGGTCCTGTTGGTCCGGGAGAGGGTCCCGCCCCATGGGAAGGGGTCTTGACCCGTGGGAGGGGGGTCCTGTTGGTCCGGGAGAGGGTCCTGCCCCATGGGAGGGTGTCTTGACCCATGGGCGAGGGGTCCTGCCCCATGGCAGGGGGTGCTGCCCCTCGGCAGGGTCTGTTCTCTGGGGTGTGTGCCCTGCCCCGGGCAGAGCCCATGGGGGCTGGAGGGGTTGTCCTTCCTGGGATGTGCCCTGTCCTGTGGAAGGGGCTGGTGCCAGAGGGGCTGTGAGCTCAGGGTGTGACCTGTCCTAGAACAGACCTTATAGGGGCTGTGAGCTCAGGGTGTGACCTGTCCTATAACAGATCCTACAGGAGCTGTGAGCTCAGGGTGTGACCTGTCCTATAACAGATCCTACAGGAGCTGTGAGCTCAGGGTGTGACCTGTCCTATAGCAGATCCTACAGGGGCTGTGAGCTCAGGGTGTGACCTGTCCTATAGCAGATCCTACAGGGGCTGTGAGCTCAGGGTGTGACCTGCCCTACAGCAGACCCTACAGGAGCTGTGAGCTCAGGGTGTGACCTGCCCTATAGCAGACCCTACAGGGGCTGTTATCCCACGTGTGTCCTGCCCTATAGCAGACCCTACAGAGGTTGTTATCCCACGTGTGTCCTGCCCTATAGCAGACCCTACAGGGGCTGTTATCCCACGTGTGTCCTGCCCTACAGCAGACCCTACAGGGGCTGGGCCTGACAGGAACCTCCTTTTGGGGCCACCGTGCCCTGTAGAGACTCTACAGGTGCCCCCTTGTCCCAGTCCTTGCCCCTATAGCTGCCCCCATAGGGGTCTTCTCGCCCCATAGGGACCCCCCAGGTGAGCTCTCCCTGGACCCTACAGCCCCTGCAGGACCGCCGTTCCCTGTCCCTTCCAGGCACTGTCATTCCATGCGGGACCCGCCTTTCCCTGTGGGAATTGTCCCTGCGGGTGCTCCCGGTTTTGGGGAGGGGCCTCGCCCAGGTCCCCTACACCTCCCTCTGTAGGGGACCCGCCGCTGCTTCTCCTCGGACACGGATCCCAGGAGGGAGGGAAGAGCCTTTGGGACCTGGCAGGAGCCCCCCTGGAATTCTGGGACCCCCCTGGAATTCCAGTCCAGCCCCCCCAACCCCCAGAAAGCCGCAGCTTCGCCGTGCGGAGCTGCCCTACTTTGCCGGGCTCCCGGGGCCGTATTTTTAGCAGCTCGTTTAAATAAGATGGAAAAAATCCAGGGCTTTGGGTGCCGTCCTGATCCATCGGGATCCTTTGGGTGCCCGGATCCCACCCCCCCACCCCCCCCCCAGGAACTCGCTCGCATGTCCCCGTCCTTGTCCTTCGCCACCGGCTTTTGTTCGGGAGGGTGTTTGTGGTTCGCTCTCCCCTCCCACCGCCCCGACCGGTCGAACTGGTTTTTTTGGGGGAGCCGCGTTTCCATCTCCTGATAAAGGGTTCGCCAGCGCAGCCCCTCGCCCGCCGCGGGGGTCCCACGGGACCTCCTTCCAGCGCCTTTTTGGGGTGGGAGCAGCGTCGCCCCGGGGCGGGATTTGGGGTGAAAACAGATCCCCGCGGCCCCGGGGAGCTGCGGCTGCTCCCCGTTATCCCCCCCGGGGCCGTTCCCGGCTCCCGTTCCCGGCTCCAAAAGAAACTCCGGTTTCAAAAGGCTCGGAAAGTGTAAATCGATCGCGTGGGTGCCGCGGAGAACCCGAGACCTGCGCCGGGAGGGGCGGGTCGGTGACGGCTCTGACCCCCTGAAGGACGGGACGAGGCTTTTGTTTTCCCTGGGAGCGGCAGGAACGGGATTTTCCAGTCTCCGGGTCGATGATTAACCCGAGGGCTCTGCCTGCGGCCCGGCGGGATGCGGAGGAATTCGGCTCTTATCGGTTCAGAGGGAGCCCCGGGGGACATGGCCTGCAGGACGACCCTTGTCCCGGCTGGATGTCCCTCTCCCAACCCCAATCCCAGCTGGATGTCCCTCTCCTAACCCTTATCCCATCTGGATGTCCCTCTGCCAACCCTTATCCTGTGTGGATGCCCTTCTCCCAACTGTTATCCCATCTGGATATCCCTCTCCCAGCCCCAATCCCAGCTGGATGTCCCTCTCCCAGCCCCAATCCCCCATGGATGTCCCTCTCCTAACCCTTATCCCATCTGGATATCCCTCTCCCAGCCCCAATCCCCCATGGATGTCCCTCTCCCAGCCCCAATCCCTGTTGGATGTCCCTCTCCCAGCCTCAATCCCAGCTGGATGTCCCTCTCCCAGCCCCAATCCCTGTTGGATATCCCTCTCCCAGCCCCAATCCCTGTTGGATATCCCTCTCCCAGCCTCAATCCCAGCTGGATGTCCCTCTCCCAGCCCCTGGGGCGGTGCCAGCACCCCGTTGTCACCCCGTTGTCACCCCGTTGTCACCGTGATCCCGTTGTCACCCGGCCCTGGTGTGACGCAGGTGCCCCGGTTTCGGGTTCCTCCGGCCTGGATCACGTGTGTTTATTGGGAATTTCGGGCTCTGGAGGCTGTGGCAGAGCAGGAAGGGCCGGTTGGTGCCAGTGCCGGGCAGGGCTGGAGCTGCCTTTGCCCAAAATCCTGGACTTTGAGCCCGTGGGCAAACACAGGGAGCCAGAGGTGCTGGGACGGGGCTGGACTTTGGGGAAATCCTGGTGGAAAACAGCCTGGAGCCAAAACCAGCCGGGCTGGGAGTGGTTTGGGATAATCCAGCAGCGTTTGCTGCCCGACTTTGGCTCAGTTTGGGCTGAGGTGGGGCAGAGCTTTGGGAAAACCTCAATGGAAACAACCCAAAGGGTGCCAAAAACCTGCCGGTGTGGAAGTGGTTTGGGGTGATGGAAACAGCCCCAGTGGTGCCAGGAGCCCAAACCGGCCGGTGTGGAAGTGGTTTGGGGTGATGGAAACAGCCTGAGCAGTGCCAGGAGCCCAAACCAGCCAGTGTGGAAGTGGTTTGGGGTGATGGAAACAGCCTGAGCAGTGCCAGGAGCCCAGACCAGCCGGTGTGGAAGTGGTTTGGGATAATCCAGCGGTTTCTGCCGGGTTTGGGGTTTGGCCCCTGGTCCAATTCCCTGCCCTGGGCACGGCTCAGGATCAGCCCGACCCTGCTCCCCCCGCCCTTCCCAGCGGCCCTGGGTGGGGGGGAGAGCCGGGCCAGCTCCGGCCTCTTCCAGCGCCCGCCCGCGAATTGCAAAACAACTTTCTGGGTTAACGTCGGCGGCACAAAGGGCTCATTGTGCCGCGCTCCGAGAGCGCCGCTGGCCCCGGGCCATCCCGGCTCTGCGATTCCAGAGGTGCGGGACGGCCTCTCCCACCGCCCCCGGCCGTGCCCGGGTACCCCCATCCCTCCGCCGGCCCATCCCGGGGCACGATCCGGGTGTTTTGTGGCCCCGGGGACAATCCCCGGCCTATTTTTAGCCCCGCTGCTTCCACCGCTCCTTCCTTGTGGTTTGCGGTGAAATCCCCTCCCGGGGCCGTGTTTCCAGCCCGGCTTGGGTGTTGCTTTCCCACACAGGAATGTGATCCCGGCTCCAGCCCCTTTATCTGCGAGCTTGGAGCCTTTCCAGAAGGAGGGAGGCATTCCTGGGAGATTAACCAGCCGGGCCTGGCTCACCTGCTTCCTCCTGGCTCTCCCCACCCCAAAACGCTGCCAGAGCCCCCCGAGCGGGAGCAGAGCCGGGGTGGGAAGGGCAAAGCCTCTCCCTGGTTTCTGAGCTTGGAAAAAAGCAGGATCCTCTTCCCGGCCGGGCTGGGATCGAGCCCAGTGCCAGCCCCGGCCGCGTCCGAACCCCCGCGGGTTTCCACCACCTGCTTCCCGCCCGTGCCAGGCCGGATGGTGGGGACGGTGCCCTGTCCCTCGGTGGTGCTGGCACGTCCCGGCCGTGGGATGATGCCCTGCCGGCCCTCACCGCCCATCCAAAGGTCTCCCCGAGCCGGGAGCTGCGCCCAGAGCTCGCCGTTCCCACCCAGATCCAGGTGAGGGGCTGAGCCCGGGGCTCGTCACCGGCTGCACTTTGGACACCGGCGGCCATGGAATATTCCGAATTCGGTGCCAAAGCCGCTTCCCCGGCCTCGGTTTCCGGCTGCAGGTTGGTGCCCGTGCTGCTCCTCCCAACCCCCCGCGGCCGGAGGGGCTGCGGCGGCTCCCGGAGGGGTCCCTCCGATGGGATTTAGGGGCTCCTGATGGGATTTAGGGGACCCTGATGGGATTTAGGGGCTCGGGGGGGGGGGTGGTGGTTTCCAGGCTGGTGTCGGTTCCTGATCTCGTTATTCCGACACCGGGCAAGGGATAATGAGCTTAAGAGACAAGGACTCTGCTCTCAACCCCTGTGCCGGCTCCAGGGATCCTTCACCTGCAGCTCCTGGGGCTCCAGGGATCCTTCACCTGCCGTTCCTGGGGCTCCAGGGATCCTTCACCTGCCGTTCTTGGGGCTGGGGAGGGATTCGGGACCCCCGATGGGCTCCTGTTGATTCCAGATCCCGGGGGAGCCGCCCGAGCTGCCCCTGCCGAGTTCGGCCGGGGTTTGGGAGCAGAGAGGGGCGGTGGGAACCCGGCAGAGCCCGGGCCGGCCAACAGCTCGTCCTCCCCGGCTCTGCTCCCGCCCCGACTCCCTGGAAAACGCCGCGTCCCGCGGCTCCAGCCCCGTCTTCCTCCCCGGGGTGGGCACAGGAGGAGTCCCGGGCTCGGGGGCGATGCAAGGACACGAGATCCCATCCCCGCGCTGGGATCCCGCTGCTCCATCCGCATCCCTGCTCCATCCCTGTCTCCGAGCTGTGTGTGTGTGTGTGTGACTCCCGGCGTGTGGTTTGGGGGCTCCTTTTTGGTTTTTCTCCGTGTTCCAGCAGCCCCCGGGACACCCTCCGGGATCGGGGGGGTGCGAGCGGGGCTCGTGTCCCTCCCGGTTTATTTGCGGCAGGGAAAGAAAGGAGCTGCGGCTGCTCCCGGTGCTCGCGGCGGGGGGCGCGCGGTGCCGGAGGGGCGATTTGGGGCCGATTTGGGGCTTTTCCATCACTTATCCCCCCCCTCTCCGGTGCTCATAGGGCAGCCCCCCCTCCCGCTTCCTCCGCTCCCTGTCGGGCCGGCATCGCCCCGGGACCGAGGGGGAGGGTTCCATCACGCTGTTCCCAATATGTCACTGCTCATATCTGTCCCCTCCCCACGGGACGAGGGGGCCCGCCGGGCGCTGGGGGTGATGCTGAGGGGCCCCCGGAGCCGCGGCCAGGCTGCGGCGGCGCTTCCGCAGAAAAAACCGGGAATGCGGCGGCGGCCGAGCCCGGGCTGCGGAGCCCGCGGGAGCGCCGCTTCCCCCCCGCATCCCCCCGCATCCCCCCGCATCCCCCCGCATCCCCCCGCCAAGGGCAGGACGCGCGGGGGGGGTGAAGGCTCCGCCGAGGATGCTGCGGGTGCGGTGCGGGGGTTTCTCCGTCCCCAGAGTCCCCCCCGCGAGCGGCCGAAGCGCTGCCGGTGCTGGCACAGCAAATCCTCGTCCCCGTCCTGTGTCCTGGGGACGCCGCAGCGCTGGCACCGCGTGTCCTCTGGCTCCCGTCCCGCCGGGAAGGCGCCGCCGGACCCTCCTCTGATTCGGGGATACTCACCCACCCCTCCCCTCCCTCTCTGCGTCCCCCCAGCACCGCCGAGCCCGCGGCGATGGAGCGGCCGGCGGGGATGGAGAAGCAGAGCCCGGTGGATTACGGCGTCCAGATCCGCTTCATCAACGACCTCCAGGAGCCCCGCAGACCCCCGAAGCCGCGGGGCAAGCCCGGCTCCTACGGCGTGGCCGTGCGGGTCCAGGGCATCGCCGGGCAGCCCTTCGTGGTCCTCAACAGCGGCGACAAGGGCGGCGACTCTTTCGGGGTGCAGATCAAGAGCGACGGGTCCTACCCGACCCCCCCCTGGCCCTCGGGCTCCGTCAGCTCCGACTCGGACCTGCCGGAGAACCCCTACGCGGGGCGGCAGCGCCGGCACGGCTCCTACAGCACCTCGGACGAGGAGGCTCCGGGGGGCTCGGGGGGCTCCCGGCGGGACCCCCAGCCCGCGGCGGGCGAGGAGCTGCGGAGGACACAGTCCCACGGGGACCTGCTCAGCGCCGCCGCGGAGGAGCCCCCGGCCCGCGGCATTCCCGGGATCCAGCGGCAGCAGCAGCAGCAGCAGCGCCGGGCCCCGACCGGTGGGAAGAGCGGCAGCGCCTCGAGCATCGCCCCGGGGCACAAACCCGCCAGGGCCGCGGGCGAGGGCCCGTCCTCGGACCCGGAGGTGGCCGGGGGGGACGTGGACACCAAGCCGCTGTCCTCGGTGGATTCCCTGATCAGCAAATTCGACGGGAAGGGGCAGCAGCAGCAGCGGGGAAGGGCCGCCAGGAGGGGCCGCATCCCCTCGGCCGAGAGGAAGCGCTCGCAGAGCCTGGACGGCCGCGTGTCCCACCGGGATGTCCCGGACGGCCGCGTGTCCCACCGGGATGTCCCGGACGGCCGCGGGACTCGCCCCCAGCCCTCGGGACCCGCCGGCAGCCGCAGCCCCCCGCGGGGATCCGGGGGGATGGAGGGCGGAGGGATGAAGGTCCAGCGGGGAATTCGGGCCGCGGAGGAGCAGAGCAAAGCCCGGGCAGAGCTGCAGGTATGAGGGGGGGGCTCTGGATCCCGCTGGGGCCCCTTAACCGAGGGGGGCACAAGGGGGGCACTCGTGTCCCGGCTGGAGCTGAGCTTTTTATCCCTCCTGGCAGCTCAAATCCACCCCGGACCTGCTGCGGGATCAGCGGGAGGTGGCCCAGCCTGGCAGCAGTGAACACCCCAAGGAGCTCATCTACAGCATCCTGAAGGAGGGGTGAGCCCCCCAGGGCCCCCCCAGAGCCCCCCGAGTGCCCCCCGAGTGCCCCATCGTTCCCTGCCCCTTTCCCAAAGCCCCGCTGGCCGGGGGTGGGATGCTGGGGGGGGTGGTTTGGGAGCAGGGATGGATTTTGGGGGGGTGGTTTGGGAGCAGGGGTGGATTTTAGGGGGGTGGTTTGGGAGCAGGGGTGGATTTTGGGGGGGTGGTTTGGGAGCAGGGGTGTTCCCGAGCTCAGGATTTTGGGGGGATGGTTTGGGAGCAGGGATGTTCCCAAGCTCAGGATTTTGGGGGGATGGTTTGGGAGCAGGGATGTCCTCAAGCTCAGGATTTTGGGGGGATGGTTTGGGAGCAGGGATGTTCCCAAGCTCAGGATTTTGGGGGATGGTTTGGGAGCAGGGATGGATTTTAGGGGGTGGTTTGGGAGCAGGGATGTTCCCAAGCTCAGGATTTTGGGGGATGGTTTGGGAGCAGGGATGTCCTCGAGCTCAGGATTTTGGGGGGATGGTTTGGGAGCAGGGATGTTCCCGAGCTCAGGATTTTGGGGGGATGGTTTGGGAGCAGGGATGTTCCCAAGCTCAGGATTTTGGGGGATGGTTTGGGAGCAGGGATGGATTTTAGGGGGTGGTTTGGGAGCAGGGATGTCCTCGAGCTCAGGATTTTGGGGGGATGGTTTGGGAGCAGGGATGTTCCCGAGCTCAGGATTTTGGAGGGGGAGCTGAACAGCAAAGCACCGGGGGGTTTGCACCCCCCGTTCTGTGCCCCCTCCCCCCATTCCCAACTGCTTCCCACAAATCCAACCCCCCCAGGAGCAGCGAGAGTGAGATCTCCCTGAAGAGGAAAACCTCCCGGCTGCTGGAGAAGATGCAGGAGCTGGTGGTGAGTCGAGGCCATCCCGGGGCTGCCCCGTTCCTGGGGGTCCCCCAATCCCCCCTGGGGGCTCCTGCCTTCCCAGCACCGTGTCCTGACATCCCAGGGGTGGGATCCCCGTGGTTCTGGGGGGGTTGCAGGACCCCAGACCCACCCAGTGAACCCCGGGGTGTCTCTCCAGGTGCCCCCCAAGGACGGGGCGTGTTCCCAACCCCAGCACAGGGAACTGGCCAGGAAGGTGGAGGAGCTGCAGGAGAAGCTCGATGAGGAGACCAAGGTGAGGCCGAGCAGGTTGAGGGGGGGGTTTGGGGTCCCCAAATTACACCCCTGGGGGAGGGGAGGCACAGCAGGTCCCTGCTCTGACCCCCCTTCACTTGGGTGCC